TGAAAGGGAATTCAAAGTAAGTCCCGGTTTGAAAAATTAATGTTTTTATTGACAAGGGCTATCCACCTGTAACTATCTGTTAATGACAGAAAACATCGTTGCCGCTGTGATTTTTCATCAAAAAATTGTAGACGAGAACTTTTTTGATATCAAAAATTTTCGTATTTTGAAGCAAAGATCATAATATTTCTTTTTGAATGCTTAAGTATTCCAATATGCTACCAATTAAGCATGGAAAAATTTCTAAATAATGCTTAATAACTAAGTTGAAATTTGATCTTCAACTGTTAATATTTTCTAGAAATTTTGAAAAAACAAATTTCAATATTTTTCTCGTACTCCCCAAGTGTATCACCCCTTAAAAGGAATGACGCCAATTTTGAATCACCCTGTATATGTTCTCTATGGTTTTAATGAGATTGTGTGGGATTTGCCTGCTGTAAAGGAGATGCAGGACGTCTTTCAGCTGGACACGGTCAAATGCTCTAGTTAGATCAACAAAACATATAAACGCTGGCTTGTTGTATGCAATCGATTTCTCGACTATTTGTCTYAATACGAACACGGCGTCTGTGCAAGATCTTCCCGATCTGAATCCCTGTTATTCGCCCGCCAACGATGCAAGATTGTTCATTTTGTTCGTAATTACWTTAGTTGTTAGTTTTAGAGCAGTGCTTAAAAGGTTTATTCCTCTATTTGATGGTATTATCTTGTCCCCTTTTTTGARCATTAGCACAGTAGTGCTGGTTCGCCCTTCATCTGGGATTTTGTGTTGATATATAATTTTCTGTATGAAAAACTTGCTTATATTCCATTTAGAAATGTTTTCCGGGCTTTGAAGCCGTGGTCTATCGGAATTTCTTCCTGACGTTTCGTCCACAACTGCAGTGGACATTTTCAAAGGCGATGAGGCAGTGGGCGAAGTRATCTCCCGTGCTTTCCGACTAAGAATGATTCAACTGCTGGATTCCCAGTCGTATTTATGCCGCCCAGCCGTGTGTGCTCATGCGTGGGGGATGGGTGGGGGTTCCAAAGCTTCGGCGCACATGCTGTTTGGCGCAAAACGCGCTTCCAATCTGGATTGAGTGCCGTAATTTCTTCTTTTCTGTTGAAATTGTTTTGGTGTTTAAATATTTCGATGGCCTCCCTGGTGAGTCTCGGGTAGTATCTTTCAGATTGGTGCAGAATGTCAACTTCGTCGAAGCGTATTTGGTGGTCGTCTAGTAGTGTGTGCTCCGCTACTGCTGATTTTTCCGTTTGTCCCAATCTGCAACTTCGTTTGTGCTCCGTGATCCTAGTGTTTATGCTTTGTTTTGTGGTGCCGATGTATGCTCTTCCACAGCTGCACGGAACTCTGTAGACTCCTGGTGCTGATAAAGGATCTCGTTTGTCCTTGGCCGAT